GCTTTTCCGAGCGAGCAAATGGGAAAGGAGAGGCGGGAGCGGGGGAGGGGGACACGTGGGGACGAAGCAGCCGAGTTTCGGGCTACAGCGTGGGAAGGGGCCAGGGCGGTTGAGGAAGGCGCTTCACTTGGGGTCTGGCCCACCTCTACCGCCTCCTGTTCGCGGTCCCCACACGGGGGCCCGCTCAATCTCCCCCCGCGAGTGCGTCCATTTTACAGTCAACGCGGCCTCCCCGTCCCGGGCCTATCCTTTCCCGCGCCTGCTTCGGCAGGAATTCCCCGCGCTCGGGATGGCTGGCGGGCAGGAGGAGAAGGGTAGCGAGGGAGGCCCGCACGCAGCGGCCCAACTTGGGCTTCCGTTCGAGGGAATCGGTCACGCCGTTTGCGAGAAACGGGGGGGGGGGTGCCAGGCCTCGTGGCAGGACACCGAGACTGAAGGGAGAGGCCTGGCCGCTGAAAGGCCTTTCTCGGCCCTTCACTTCCGCGAAGGGGTTGCGCAGGCTTTGGGATCACGAGGCAGGGCCTTAAAATGTCCCCCGCAAGGGCGTGCCGGGCGCTCGCTTCCGCCAGCGGAGGCGCTGAGTCGGGCGCGAGAAGGAAGCGCAGATGAAAGGCACCTTGGCGGAAATTCCACCTGAATTATAACTTTTAAAGTAATGGTGGAGGAATAAGGCGGAAGTGAGTCTTTGAACCCGTAGTGACTAAAACGAATGTAGGCCGTGTTTAATTATCCTTTCCTTCTGTGGAGTACTTTCTGCCCTTTGGGTCTGGAGAGCAAAGATGTGCCTGATTCTGTAATGTACGTTATATTAAAAAGTAAATATTTTTTAAACACTTTTTGAAAAGCCACTTAAAATCTTTTTGACCCATGTCTGATAGAATATTTTCTTGATTATTGCATTTGAAGCCTTTCAACTCTTAACTCTGTTTTTTGTTTAGTTTATATAGAGTATCTAAACATTTTTGGCCACATGACAAATATTAAAGAGTAAAATAGCTTTATTTTCCTCTGAGTTACATAGCTTACAGTCTGAATGAGTGACCAGAAATTGAGAAAACCCATCAGACTTGCCATTGGAGGATACCTAAGGCGAGCCAGCATGGCTAGACTTTATACTGATGGATAGGAGCAGGGTGAGCTCTTGTCAAATAAAAGGCACAGGAACTGGAGAAGGCTCTAAAGTTTCTTCCCAAGTCCAAGTGCCCAAACCTCTTCAAAGTAATTTGTCTTCTACTTTGAGTGTAGTTGGTGTACTAAACCAATAAACATCTGTTTAAAAATTAGTATGATTTTTAAAATTAAATAACACACCCTAATAAGTCCTTATATTTTCCATGATACATGAAAAGGGCAGTGAAGAGTAGATGAAATAAAAACTTTGAGACCAAGTAATGCCTGATTCAGAGATACTGTAATGCCAAGCCATAATGTGGATTGTTTCTTCATTTATTTTGGATTTATTTGATATGCCTTATTTCTTGTGATAGTTATGTACAGTGCATTAAGGAAAAAATAAACCATGTTGTGGATTAGTGAATCATCATAGGGCATTGAAAACTGGTTTCCAATGTGCATTGTCTCGCATGAATTGAAAATGGGAGCCTCTGTTGTTTGGTCCTATAAGCCTGGATTGTCCAAGCATGGCAGTATATTGAAGGGCAGACTGTGTAAATTCATCCAGTCGGCAGATAAACAGTCTGTTCATTGAGGCTGTAGGGAGTGTCCAGAAATAGGATTATTTCTGTAGATTTGTTTCTCAAAAACTATTCTGGAGTTTTTTTTCCAACTAGCTTCAGTATTTTGCTGAGATGTTTCTTCTCAGCTGGGGATTCATTTATTCCAGAAAATAATGGCTGTGTTCAGACATCACAGTAAGCTGGAATTCAGAATTCTTTAGAATTCTGGCTTGTGTTAATGAGCAGTATCCTGGTATATGCTACAATTGCTACTACTTTGTTCTTTTTGAAGTAGCTAAATAAACCTGAATGATCTGTCCAAAGTTTTAGTTAAATTAAGTAAGCTCTTAGAACTCTTTTTTTCTAATAAGCTACAGCAGCTAAGAACAAACAATGGCCTATGATTCTTATTAGAGAAATAAGCTAGAGTTTTGTAGTTACCTGGTACTATTAAACCACTCTTGCTGCCAGGGGGAATAAAATGAGAACTATGAAGCTACATGCACCAGTACATGGTTTATTCATTCCCAACTGAAGCGAGACTATAAAGAATGTTGGCTTACTGTGACATTTGAATTTCTTCAGAATAAAAAGCATTTAGTTAGTGGTTAATAACTAAATTACCATCCCAGGAAAGCTATACATTTAATTAGAGATATCTACTCTATTTTTCTCCAATGTTTTGCATTTTCAGTAGCTTTAAAAGTAAAGAATGAACTTGGCTGAAATGCTTTTTGTCTTTTGTTAAGAAATTATTACCAAGAGATGGATGAGGAAGATATGTATAAACTCTGTATAGACCACAGCATACACAGTTACTGGGGGAAAAGAGTTAGGGCTTGGTTAAATGCTTCAAAGGATTTCTTGGAAATCATTTGTATTTTTTTGAGTTCACAGAATATATATGCGAAACATGACCTCTACAGCTTTATCACTATATATTCCTCATATTAATGTTATTGAAGGTCCAAAGTTGTCTTTTATAATTTGCTTCATCTTATTAGTACTAGGACTTGAGTAAACATTATGGAAGAAAGCACCTGTACCCTTTTTTAGAATAATTTAAATTAGCACGCTGTGCATGTTTTCCCCTTTTTCACTGACCTCTGCCTTCATTCTTTTCTTTGCCATCCCCTTCAGTGCAAATTTTGTATGTATGCAAGTGGATTGAGCTACCTCTGCTGAATTGGCAACTCCCATTCTATGCACTGTGCCTGGAAAGCAGCAGGTGGAGCTGTTGTTTCAGAGTTGCATTGTGAAAAAACAAAACTGATATGGCAGATTTAACTAGCACTTCATGTTCAGGTTCAGACTAAAGAGCTCTAAGCTCCTGTTGCAGACCAGCAATATTAAAAATAACAAAATAAAAAAGATAGGGCCATTGCCTTGGTTTGCTCTCCTGCTTTCCATCAGAAGGCCAGCCAGGGCCCGGCCACATTTCCTAATGTGCTCCTTGCTGGTTCTGCTATTGCCATTCGTGTTGCTGCACTCTGCATCTGTTCCTGAAAGGGCAATAAATCTTATGGACAGAAAGACCACTTTTATTCATGGTTGCCTGGTTAAGCTTTTTAACTGCTGGTATTAATTAACTAGCTGCATCTATAGTCAACGTGGCTTTACCAGATTTGTTTGGGATGATAGGAATGGTGGTGGGTATAAAAAATATCTATGTGTTTAATTTTAGCAAATGCTAACATTATTATTATATACTATGCTGTGAAATTAAATAGTGCATAAATTGATACAGAATGCAAGAACTATAGCATTGACTCCTGTGAGTAGTTCTGTTCCTGACGTAGACGGTTTCTAGATGCTACTGTACAAGGAAGCAATTCATAGACTGCTGGGGATGGGGAAAGCTTTTCCAGTTGTTTCACTTGGTACATTGCTCTGTGTTGAGCATAAGTGGGTAGGAAGATACAAAGTTGCACAAAAAGCCCTTCTCTAGTTTGCCTGCACATTCAATTTTGAACTTGAGGCAGTGCTTTGAAATTTTAGTCCCATTGATTGTCACATCCTCCCCCTATTGTTATTGGCTAACATACAGTAGTGTTGCAGGATTTTTGTACTCTGGTTCGTTGGCAAGGATTATTGAGCTGCTGTGGATGAAACAAGAATTTGGAGAAGTTTCATTAGCAAGAGTGAACTTTAAAAGTCTGTCTTACCAGTTTCCTTCATTTAATAGCAAATAGCCCTTTTATACTATGGTAATATAGAATTTTTATTATGTTGGTTTGGAAAAGCAAACAAAAAATCTAAAACTAAAAAACTAAAACAAATCTTTTAGTTTCTTTACTTGTGACTAGAAATTTTATTTCTTTATTAGTAGCAAGCCAATAACTGCAGCATGGTTTTGTTTTGCATCTTGCACCTATAAAAACTGTTTGGGAAACAGGCAGGTTTTATATATATTGCAACTTGATAGTACAACTTTTTTATAAGCTTCTGTTCTTTACTGTTGCTGCAGATTGGGATCCCGTAGTAGTATATTCATTAAACATCTAAATCCCTTAAAACATCAAGATTAGAAAGTGAATATTACAAACTGTTTTTTAGGTTAAAATATAGTGAATTTTGTTAATGCAAAATATGTGACATTGTCTTCCATTTTTGAATGTGTACTCTGCATCTACTAAACTCAGTCAACCTTTTTTCCCTTGCTGTTTCCACAATTTCAGATGGTGGAGTAGTCTAATCATTCCTTGGAGTACAGGAAGTAAATAACACAGTTGAAGTTATAAGCAATGACAGTATTCTGTTAGGATTAAAACAATTGTTTTGTTTTACAGCTGAACGAGCTTTAGATACCATGAATTTTGACGTCATTAAAGGCAAGCCAGTGCGTATCATGTGGTCTCAACGTGATCCATCTCTACGAAAAAGTGGTGTTGGCAACATTTTCATTAAAAACTTGGATAAATCTATTGATAATAAAGCTCTGTATGATACATTTTCAGCTTTTGGAAACATCCTCTCTTGTAAGGTGAGTGGAAAGAAAGCAAAAAATGAGAAAATACTTCAGATTGGAATTAACATGATTAGATTCAGTTGTTCTCACAAGCATTGCAATACTTTTGCAGGTCGTATGTGATGAGAATGGATCCAAAGGCTATGGGTTTGTACATTTTGAAACACAAGAAGCTGCAGAAAGAGCTATTGAAAAAATGAATGGAATGCTGCTTAACGATCGTAAAGTGTGAGTACAAAAATGTTTTTCTTTGAGCTTTTAAAAGTTAAACAGTATTTAGAGAAATCTTATTTTATAAAACAGACACCCTAGTTCCAATGTTGGCTTACATCATTAGAAATATATATGTAAAAAACAAAAAGGGAAAACTTGTCTCATGCATTGCATAGGAACTGTGAGAGACATAATATGTCACAATCAGGAGGAGTCATACCACACTGCTATGTTTCCCTGGATGGGAGAGCACAGCGGGGTAATATAACTGCTCCATTCTGAACAGTCTGTCTCACAACAGACAGGAGACTGGACAAGCTTAATACTCTACTATTTCCCTGAAGAAATACTGCAGTGTGCTATGGCAGCTGCTCGCATACAGGGAAATGACACAGCACGTGGGTGAGCACCTCAGAGATTGGCTATAAAGAGTATTCCTTTATGGACATAAAGTCATGTAGTGAGCATTTTCAAAATATCTAAGCAGCTTCTCACCTTGCCTTTTAAAACTAGATTTGTTGGAAGGTTTAAATCACGCAAAGAACGGGAAGCAGAGCTTGGAGCTCGTGCTAAGGAATTCACTAATGTTTACATCAAGAATTTTGGAGAAGACATGGATGATGAGAGACTGAAAGAACTCTTTGGCAAGTTTGGTAATGTCTTGATCTTTTCATGTATATAAAAATGAGAAGAGCTGGTATCTTAATATGATACGATTACCCAACTGCAATTCCCTAACATTAGCTTTTTATTGGAGATAGCAAGAATCAAACTTGTGATTCTCTATGTGCATAGGAATTAAAGAATGTGATTTTGTGGCCACTGACCTTCATCCATTTGGGAGTTGTTGTTTTTTTAATTTATATATTGCCTTTCCACTAAAGACTCAGGTACAAGGCTGATAACAATAAAAAGAATAAGTACCATAACTATTTGAACATACCATATATACTTGCAGATAAGCTGACCCTAGAATTTTTAGCCAAATACCATAAAAAATGTGCCATCTGCGGATAAGCCAACCCACATTTTTCATGGTATTTTTGTCAAAAACTTGAGGGTCTGCTTATTCATGGATGGGCTTATATGTGAGTATATACAGCACATTCAACTAGTTATGGCATCTAAAATTCTCAGCTTATCCATGAGGATATATAGTAAATAAAACTTTGTTAAAATATCATTAATATTTGGTGTCATAAACAGTAGAACTAGAGCTTTAATACCAGGGTTCCAGAGTGATTGCAGGTCTTGATTAGTTCAAATACATTAAAGTTGTACCTAATGAACAGTTAATTTCAGAGTAACCCATAATTATTTACCCATAGACCTTTTTCTGACTTTAGCACCTTTAAATTAAAAATGCTTGGTGTGCTACATGAAATACCCATGTGCTTTTAACATTGGACACAGTATGTGAGCAATATAGTCTTCCCCAAACTATACCATTGGTGTCCTGGCTGGGGATGCTTAGAGCTTTAATTGAATCCAGTTGGAGGTTGGTAGATAGGGGGAGGGTCTCCAGCGTAATCCTTGAAATAATTTGTTCAGTGCTAATGATAATTTTCTTAGGGTTACTATAATGTTTAAAAAATCTAAGCAAAATGAAATAGGTTTATTGTTGGTCTTTCTGATAGTCTCCCAACTGGGAGAATCTTTGTAAACTGTGGGATAGGTTCTCTCTAAACATGGGTGAATGGCAAATATATGTAACAAATTTTGTGTGCTTTGTAGGACCTGCCTTGAGTGTGAAAGTTATGACTGATGAAAGTGGAAAATCCAAAGGCTTTGGCTTTGTCAGTTTTGAAAGACATGAGGATGCCCAAAAAGTAAGTCTATATATTACTTTGTGTAAACTTTGTAGAATATTGTTGTTGGTGACCAATTTAGTTTTGGACCCTTTATTCTTCTTCATTGATACACATCAAGCTATGTTAAATCTGTGTTTTTGTGCTTTTAACTCCGTCATTCTGCTTTTATGCAATATTGACTCCAACTTCATATTATCAAATCTTTTTTAAGAATTGTTTATGCTCTCTTAGTAGAAGCACATTCTATTTTAAATTAGAGCATTTTAACTTATATTTTTTATTTATAAAGGCTGTAGATGAGATGAATGGAAAAGAACTCAATGGAAAGCAAATATATGTTGGTCGAGCTCAGAAAAAAGTCGAGAGACAAACAGAGCTTAAACGCAAATTTGAACAAATGAAGCAGGATAGGATTACAAGATACCAGGTAAAATTTCAGTTGGATAGTTATGTTTTTGCTTGATTTTTACATTCTTCATAGTTTATCACTTCATTCTTTTTTTTCCCTCCCCAAGGGTGTAAATCTTTATGTGAAAAATTTAGATGATGGAATTGATGATGAACGCTTACGCAAAGAATTTTCACCATTTGGCACAATTACTAGCGCAAAGGTAAGCACAGTTGCAAGAAGTTGTGCTTCTGTGGTAAATTTGGAGGAAGAGTAAGTTATCTAACATTTCCAGAGGAATTGTCTATTTTTTCTGTGAAAAATGGTAGCTAATGTTTAAATAAAATAAACATTGTATAACAGGTACATACAATGTTTGTGTATGACACATTTAAATTTCTGAAGAATTTGTGACTTGCTCAGTGGATGCAACATTGATTGGAAAATTGCTTACCTGTCATTTTATCGTAAGAGCCCAGTCAGTAGGGCTACCTGGAAGGACAGCATAGTTTAGTGTAGCTGTCTGTAAGTTTCAGTGGAAGTGTAAATGATTACAGACTATACAGACATACTGCAATAATGTGAGGTGGTGCTCAGAGATAACTTTTTAAATTCTTTTGACAGGTCATGATGGAAGGGGGCCGCAGTAAAGGGTTTGGGTTTGTGTGCTTTTCTTCACCAGAAGAAGCAACCAAAGCAGTTACAGAAATGAATGGTAGAATTGTGGCCACCAAACCACTATATGTAGCTTTAGCTCAACGTAAAGAGGAACGCCAAGCTCACCTCACCAACCAATACATGCAGAGAATGGCAAGTGTGAGAGCAGTGCCCAATCCTGTCATCAACCCTTACCAGCCAGCACCTCCATCAGGTTATTTCATGGCAGCTATCCCACAGGTATGGCTTGAACCTCTCCCTATTAAGTTTAAATTTATTAAATATATATAGTTGATATAGTCATAGATTTGTGCTAGACACATGGTAGCTATTAAAATAGTTTGTCTCTATTGCTTTAGAAAGCCTGCAGTTTTTTATATAGAACAGTCCAACGGTTAAGCTTGAGTGGAATAATGGTTAATTTCATAATGCTGCAGTGCTGTATATCCTGGTTTGAGCTCCCAAATGCAAGGCAGATTATAAATCAAATAATTGTTTTTTTCCTAATAGACACAAAACCGTGCAGCCTACTATCCTACTAGCCAGATTACTCAACTTAGACCAAGTCCTCGCTGGGCTGCTCAGGGTGCCAGACCTCATCGTAAGTGACTTAGTTTTCTTACAGAATATAGGGCAATGTGGGCTTGACTAACAAAAGTCTAGTTTTGTTAATTTCTAAAACACATACTTAAATTATCTTAAAAGCAGCTTTCCAGAATATGCCAGGTGCCATCCGCCCTACAGCTCCCAGACCACCATTTAGTACCATGAGGCCAGCTTCATCACAAGTTACACGAGTAATGTCAACACAGCGTGTTGGTGAGTTCTGAAGGTTTTTTTACTTTAATTTTTAAATAACAAAGGGCAAGTAAGAAGCAATGGAAACAAGGATAGAAAAGTATGGAGAGGTATAGTGAGTGGTGTACCTAGCTTTTCTTTAATTTCTCTTTTTATTTGTTGTTTATGGTTTGCATAATTTTGCTTCTACCAAAAGGGAGTAGCATGATGGATATGTATGTACTCTAGTTATATCAGTATAGTTCATTAAGTATATGCAGTTCAGTTGTGCCTACAAGTTTGAATGTCATATATATGTTTAAAAACACTTAAGCAAAAATTGTGCAAGGAGACCCACTATAGTACAGTTGAAGAGAATTCTCTCTTAGCTTGAAATCATTTTCTTTTCAGCAAACACATCAACACAGACCATGGGTCCGCGTCCAGCAGCTGCTGCTGCTGCAGCCACTCCAGCTGTGCGCACTGTTCCACAGTATAAGTATGCTGCAGGTGTTCGCAATCCTCAGCAGCATCTTAACACACAGCCTCAGGTTGCTATGCAGCAGGTAAGCATGAAAACTATGGGGCAACCTTAAAAGTTGGGGTAACAGCTGGAACCTCTGCATAGTTAGAAATATCTAAAATATATTGAAATAAATTATGAAAGCACACTATTAGTGTAGTATTATTGAGCAGGAAACCTTGGGTGGATTTCTATTCAAAACTTCTTTACACTCGAGAAAAGGATGAACTTGCTGGCTTAAGTTGAAGTAAATCTTTTGTCAGTAAACACACTTGTATCTCCAAGTAGGATCTGTTATACTTTAGTGAATTGTTTGCCATTCAGCATTCTGGTCTCTGGTATTCAGATCAGAGTGACTGAATGTGAGTAATGCAGATATAATCAGTATATTGTTTGATGTAAAATGTATAAAATTAGTTATTCAATGTTCTGAAATTCTAGCCTGCTGTCCATGTGCAAGGTCAGGAACCTTTGACTGCTTCCATGTTGGCTTCTGCCCCTCCACAAGAACAAAAGCAGATGTTGGGTAAGTTACTGTTTGATATTAGGTGAACATGGGGAGAATGGGACAGGAGGTTTTGGTATGTTGTGCTGAGAGAGTAAGGCATGGAAGGAGGAAAGCTACAGCAGAATATTTGAATCATGTGCAGAAGGAAGATAACTGCTGGTGGTGCAACCTATTTATTGGTATACCTGCCCACTTGCACAAAGCATTGCAAGCAGCTCAGTTTTTCCTAATGCATTACCTAAATGTGAGGAGTGAAACTGTGTTTCCGTAAGCAGAAATCTTCTATGTGCAAGCATGCACTTTGGATTCAGCCCTCAGAAGTCCTAAAACATGGGTTGTGGCTTCTTAGTGGGATTATTTTAATGGTGGAAATAAATTTAAAAGTCCAGTTAACTCAGCTGAAAGTTATGTAGAGGAAAGAGAATGTGCAAGTGTTAGAGGAAGAAGCTATTCAGAGAGCTTAATAGTTCAAATCATTTTATTGATAATGGCATTGGCTGTTCAAAATAGCAATCTTCGTTTAAGATACTACTACTTTGCACACTTCTTAGTTTATTCTCTTAACCAGCTCCTGTTCTGCTAAAAGAACAATTTTTAGTATGTAAATGGTTATTTGAGGCTTGTTGAAGTAGTTCTGTTTAGGATAGGTACACGGATCACTATGTGGTCTTGTAAACATGTGAATTGTTTTCTAGGAGAACGTCTGTTCCCTCTTATCCAAGCCATGCACCCTACTTTGGCGGGTAAAATAACTGGTATGTTGCTAGAGATTGATAACTCTGAACTTCTCCATATGCTTGAGTCTCCCGAATCTCTTCGTTCGAAGGTAGGCAGATTCTTCAAGTATTGTTGTGGTTTTCCTTTTGGAATCCAGCATATTTTACTTTTTAACAGAAGTAGGAGTAATTCAGTTTTTCCCTTAACTAGGTTGATGAAGCTGTAGCCGTACTGCAGGCCCATCAAGCTAAAGAAGCTGCTCAAAAAGCAGTTAACAATCCAGCAGGAGTTCCAAGCGTCTAATGTAAGTATTCATGAGAGTAAGCTTCATAAGTGAAATAAATTGTATTAGGGATTGCATTTCATTTCAAGCGATAGGTTTTGCTGCATCATAACAGGCTGTTAACTTTGTCCAGTATAATGGAAGGCCAGTTAGAGTTTCATTCATGCTGAATTTTCTTGACAGCATTACTACTGTATTCAAAATCTGAGATCTAGATAACTATAGATAAGGATTTCCGTGTTGAACAATGGAAACCTCATTACTTGGCAAACAGCAGATTACTTTTATTATTGGATTTCATCTATCTCTGGGACTAGTATTCAACATGCATTGGTTTTGGGCTCAAACTAGGGTTACCAATGATAGAAATAAGGCCATAGAAGTTGCAGTCTTAATTTTGTCTCTACTACTGTTCCAGAATTGTAAAGTATACATTGCCATTTATGAAATCTATAGACTGGCAGGATTAACTCAGAAAACAACATTCCGCAAGCCAATGGCATAGATCCAGTTTCCAGTCCATTGTTAATGGAAACATTTAACAGAAATATTGCCAGTTGCCCTATTTGGTTGTTTAATTTTTGTTCATGCTTGTTTGCTGGCCAGAGTAGATCAGGATTGGAATAGGTTATAAATGTTAAATAAATAATTCAGCCACTCCTCATTTAGTGACTATCTTGTTTAGTGACCGTTGGCAAATATGACAGTAATAATAATTTAAAAAATCATTTTCTGACCAATTTGGGCCTTTTAAGGCCAAATTTCCTGCCCCTGACAACAAAAGCCTTCTATGTGAAACTGATTAAGATCTGGTCAGTTTCAGGCAGCAGGGAGATAGCAGGAGGGTTCTAATCAACTAATTAAAGTCACACAACTGAGCTTTTAACTTGCAGTTAAGCACTGCGTTGCAGAGAAAAATAGCTTAAGAAGTGATAGCTTGTTCAAGCAATCTGTCCATCCTGCAAGGGGGCAAAAAAAGGGGAGAAAAAAACAGGTCAAGCACAGGACACTGTACAAGACAACTTCATCTGAATGAGATGGCAGCAACCAGTGATCTTTGCAGCTCCCCCCATCATGTATTTGCTTAGCAACCATTTTGCTTCCAATTTAAGGAACGGATTGCAGTTGTTAAACAAGGAGAGGGTGTAGAGTGCTTTATTATTTATTTATTATTGAGCCCCAATAATAAATATACTAACAATGAAAATGGGCCTCAAAATAATGCATTTCTATATTCTTGTATTTTCTTGATTGCAGAAGACCCAGGACTACGTATTATAATATCGCTTCACCGAAGAAAAAAATCTAAACATGGAAAAACTACTAAATATTGAGAAAAACATTGCAAAATATAAAATAAATAAAAAAAAGAAAGGAAACTTTGAAGCTTATGTACACAACAAATGCCAGGACTAGCAAAACTGCTAGTCCTAGATTACCTATTGATTTAAAATACAAAAAAAAATAGCAAAAGTTAAAAAACAAATTAATGTTTTATAAACCCGGGGAAAAGAATTTTCAGCACAGTACAAAAAATTTAAAGCATTCCTTTCTTTAATTTTGTAATTTACTGTGGAAAAGCTCAGAATATCACTACTGTTGTAGTTAACAGTAAGGATTGATAGCTGAGCAAAGAACCATAATTTGGATTATAAAATTCTTGCTTTAATAAAAATTCCTTAAACATTGGCATTTGAATTTTCTTTTTCTTCATCTAATGAGTTTTATAGACAATAGCAGGAATTTATAAAGTCCTGTACTACAAGTTCAGATAAGTTTACATTATGCTGTCGGTTAACAGGTTGGCTGTAAGTTTGAAAATGGGCTATAAACAGCTAGTTTTATTCTTAACTAGACAACCTATGACTTGTTGGGTCATCCTTCTTTCCACATAAAATATAGGCTGGTGCTGTTTCTCCTCCCCTCACGACCCTCAGCAGAACCCCGGTGAAGCTGCTACCTTTTCGGCTGATCCACGGAATTGCCTGCCACTTTGCTGGGGGGATGGGAAACAAAGAGAGCCTGCACCCCTGCTCCCCCATCCTGGCATGTCCCCAAGGTCCCCCCCAGGGATAAAGGGCTCATCTGTCAACCGCCAGAGCCTCCCAGCCAGCCCTAGCTCGCCAGCGGGCATCTGAGTTGCTCCCTCATCCTTTGCTCACCACCCACCGCAGTTAAGAGATTTCAGTTTCCCACCTCAGTTCCAAAGCAGCCAATCGCCACTTGTCCATCAGGCCTTGCTGCCAGCCAATTGGGCACAGGGGCTAGAGGGAGGTGGGAAAGAGGGCAGGGATACGCCCCTCCCATCTTCCCTTGTACCATGCAACCTACAGGTTTCTGGAAGGCATTGTCATACATCATGATAACATGACTGCAGCGATGCAGCAGCCACAACTTTGTGAATAGAACTGATGTGAAGATCCTTGAAATTTCAATTCCATGGGAGTTGGGTCCCTGATTTTGGACGCATTCCTTAAGTTATCCCTATGATGCACCATTTCGGCCAATTGGAGGTTACAAACAGTTTTAGTAGTATACAGATAATTCTGAACCATGAGGAGAAAAACTGGGCACTCGTTGACTATTTCAGTTTAATAAATTTCAGTAATGTGGTTCATACATTTTGCCATTCGTATTAGGGCACACTAAAAAGTAATATAAATAGGTTTAAATTAATCCCTCATTGCTATTTTAAAAGACTACCAGGCTTGGAAGTCAGAATAGATTGTTCATAATGACAGGAGACATGACAAAGGAGAACAGATAGATGGGAAATTAGGGCAGATACTGGCAGTGACGCATAACTAGACACCAAAAAGAAACGTATTCATTTGTGAGGCGTCAAGCTATGCTACCTAGTCTTTGCTGGCTTGGCTGTAGTAAGGGTAAATGGCATTTATTTGGTTATCCTGCAGAATGACATAAGACTCAATTCTTATGGAAATCAACACATCTTTAGGTTCAGCAGCAAACTTGTAGACAGAATCTATTAAGTTTTGGTCCTAATTGCATATATCTGTATGCTACTGGGGGGGAGTGTAGTCCTGAAAATAGTTAAGAAATAATGTTATATAAAAGCTATTAAAGTTGTAAAGTTTTAGTATACATCTGTAGTATTGAAGACAGATCCCTGCCTGGGGGAGGAAGAAGGTGGGAGCAGCCTATAGTGTTCTGGGTGGGCTGACTTTGGATTGGCTGAACTCATCCAGAGCTTGTGGTGAAAATACCAAACGTGAAGAACGGAGCAGAAGAATAGCTGAATCTTACAGACGCTTGCCCATTCTGTAGTGAAAAGGTCTGTGGTGTGTGAGAAGACTGGCAGTAGGCTGTCAGATCTTTTCCATGGGGTTCCACTTTTCTGAGCATACCAATTGACTACGCTTAGAACAGTCCCTCTGCGATTCGGGCACCTGTATATTGGTAGGTGCATTTTTGTGGCTGGGCAGGCATCATTGGCACATTCTAGAACTGTGGGCCCAAGAAGTTCCTTTCCTGTGTTCAGCAGTTTCCTGTAATTTCATTAAGTTCTTTTCAACCACAAATAAAACAACTTGGAATTTACTTCCTGAGGCTGTTGCTGAGCTCTTTTTACATAGTTTTTATTTTTAAAAGTTTGTTACCTGTTAGTTTTTCTGTAATAAAGTTATATTGTATTTTTGTCCCCATCTTCCTTGTGCCAGAGAGAGAACTGGCCTTGGCCTTGAAGAACTGGTTTAGTAAATGCCTTCAGTGTGGCAGTAATTCCCCCCCCCCCACACGAAATGTTTTGTGTCTCATGTCTGAATGAAGGTTGCTTGATTTTTGCTGATGTTGTCAGGGCTTTACTGAGAAGGCACCCCGTAACCATTCACTGTGTCCCCAAGCTTGGTTCTGGGAACAAATCCTCCAGGCTGTGACAATGGTGAGATTGGTGTCAGGAAGCTAATTTCAAAAGTTTGAGGATAAATGAAAATGTGTACAGAAATCTAAAAAGTGCCAAGCTCTGTCACCCATACCAGAACACTCCATGTCACCACCACTTAAGGATCTAAACATTCAGACTGACTGAACAAGTATTTCTGATTTGCAATCCTGCTTAGGAATGAAAAAGCATTTTTTTCCACAAATGACAATCCAGGCTGCTACATGCTGCTGCTGTTGCTGGAATCTCCAAAACAGGCCATTGAGTAGCTTCATTAATTTCCAAGAAGAGATCTACTCTTCCAAGAAAGGATATTTTCATATATTTGGCTATATGGATACCAAGGTCATTTGACTCCCGTCACTTGACACAGGATACCCAGTCACTTGACTCCTGTTCTGCACTGAATCCTGGATGATGTCATATGGAGCCTTTAGTTCTGACCAAGTGTGATTGTGACTGCTATCACTAACCCCTTTTACTGCTTCACCATGTTTTAGTCACTCCAAATATTTGGCTTACCCTGATTGTTGCCATTATTGACCATAACTATTTTCAATCCCATTTTCAATTGTCCTATAGTGGCCACCTAAACTAGAACTGCTATTGTCAGTATTAAATGAATCCTTTACTGTAGGCAAAGGCCAGCAACTAACAATACCCTACAAGAATTTAAAAATCTAGACCACTGTTTCTCAATCTTCACAATTTTAACACTGTGTGGACTTCAACTCCCAGAATTCCCCAGCTAGCCATTCTGGCTGGGGAATTCTGGGAGTTGAAGTCCACATGTCTTAAAGTTGCCACGGTTGAGAAACAGTGATCTAGACTAATACTACAGTAAAACAGTAATATGAAAACAACAGATTTATATGCTCCTATTGGTGAGAGAGTCGGTGTTGTATCTTGCTCACTCTGCATACTGCCACAAAATGTTGCTATCTTACAAATAATAGGTTGCCCGTCCTAGAAAGTTTGCTAAAAGGAATAAAATAAGCTTATACACATTCCTATTTTTAAAAAATATACAATGTGGCAAGATGCACAAGTGCTTTGAATTGCTAGTTGACAGAAGTTAAACTTTAGCCAGAGATTAAAGATAAGCCAAGCATGAATCTCCACCTTGGGTAAACTGGCCTCCAGCCACAAGGAGGTGTTACGGACACACTTGGGAATATGAAACACTGTCCTCAGGAAGTTGCAATATTTCTTGAGGATGATAATAGGGCATGGTCTGAACTCCATATAAAAAACTAAGCCAGTAACTTAGCGTCAAATAATGTAATGACAGCAGGAATGAAATCACTTTGTTTTAAACAGAAAAACCCAAATCGCTTTACTGTCTATACTGCATATTCAGCTGAAGCCCTCTATCTGAGCCAGGGGATACAACCACCAGATAGTTGAAGCACTTGTTCTGCTCAGTGATGTTGCTGTGTATATTCGATTATTCATCTTGGGGCTTTGGACAACTACAACATCTTTGTCTTCTGATAATTAGAAGAAACAGTACTGCAGCAATGGTCTTCAGCATTCTTCTGAGGCTGTTTGGTGTCTGTGATAAAACAGCATCTTCTTCATAAGAAGGGAAAACTTTCTCAAGCTATTTAGGGAGGGTGGGAATCTGGATTATGCAAGGACCCAAAGGTATTATGTAAAGATTGAAAAGCAAAGAAGCTAGTGAACAGCCCTGCTTTGATCCCTTTTGAGTTGGGATACAATTTAAGTTATCTCAATGGGTTGCATCTTACTTGGAAGTTTACATACATATGGAGTATATATGCAAGCAGGAGTAGGCCTATATCTGTGCTTTAAAACTTAAACTTTTCCCCACAAGATTTTTTCTAGAGATGGAGTCAAAAGCACACTAATAAAATTAACAAATGTCATTTACAGACTGCTCTGGGTTTACTAAAATATTTTTTAAAAAATATGCTGTAACACCAATACTTGGTCCATAGAAGAACATTCTGCTCTAAAGCCTGCACGTTCCTCAGCCAGAAGGCTCCAGCCAGTCCTGAGGTTTCCAATATACCGTATTTTTCCAACAATAAGACGCCCCCATGTACAAGACGACCCCCACTTTTCCAGC